CGGGCAAGAGAGCCACTCTCTAATTAGCTTGGTATACGGGGCTTTTTGTTTAATTAACACGCTCATAGTAAACCACCCTTATGCCGCGCGCGAAGCCGCTCGTTTCTATCCGACGCGCCGCTTTACATCCTATTTTTCCCCCCCATCTCCTCATGGCCATCCTCCTTTCGTTCGTGATATACCCGATAGGTATTAGTTTGCTTAAAACACGCGCTCAAGGGTGTCGGGTTTAAAAGGGGCGACGTTTCTGGGGCCTGGGGTCTGGGGTAGGTGTGTCTCGCCGACGGCTCTTTATCTCTCGTTACGCATCACATCTTTTTTCATCTCTCTTTTCATTGCCAGCCGGATGGAAACACCGGGCTTCCGGTGTCGTATTTTGACAACCGGCGAGCTCTCGCCGCGGCACGGCGCACACATATTTCGAATACGACGAACCGTCGCGTCGACGAATCATGGCATTTCAATCTCTGCCGCTCCGAGGGAGCCGAGTCGCACGGCCATTTGCACTCCCAAATTCTGTGAGATAAGTAATCTTGTTAATAGAAAACTCCGGAGCTTATTGGCACTGCGCCCGTCACTGATTGATTGCTTCGCGAAGCCCTTAGACATCGCCGTTTATTCGATTAGAATAAAGGGCGAAGTCGGCCCTTTGTTTCCGTTTTATTATGCTCCAGCGACTCTATTATTTTACAACCGGATTACATCCTTTCCAGACGTGTCCGTCTCTCTTTCTCTTTTTTTCCTCTTTCTTTCGCGCGATCTTCCCGTAAAAATAAACTGCGTCGAAAGTACAAACCTCGTCGGAGAATGAAAGAATAATATTATGACTAAAACATAATGGATATCTCATATTCTTAGCTTCCGCTCCAACCATACGGTGACAGTTGGCCACGGCAATTCTCTCAGTAGTTTCGCTGGAATTAAGTGTGTCGTAAAATATTAGGACAAAGAAAAAATCGAGTTTTACTGCGTTCTTATTCAAAGAATGTACTCTTTAATAGGCACATTAACTTGTTTTTCACTTATTACCGAGATCGTCATCACTCGTGGCAGGATTATTCTACAGCTTTTGATCGGTATCATATTAGTTTGGAGATATCCGGAAAAACGAGATCGGGGCGAACCGCGCGTGTCGAACACGGACCCAGCTCGGCTGTCGCAGCGTTGAGATACGCGCGCGACAGCCACTTCCGTGCACGCTTTCGCGTTACAGTCTGGCAACGAAACGCCGTTCTCTTTCTCTCTCTCTCTGTCTTTCTCGGGCTTAGTCTCTCCGGTCTGTACGTTAGCCGGTGAACGTTAGCTGCAGGTGGCGCGTGTATTTATAGCCGCGTCGTGACTCCTCTTCCTCTTCGCCAACAACACGCCGCCGGTCCTCCGCCGGTCCTCCGCCGCGTTTTCGTGCAACTCCTCACTGTGCCTCTTTCTCTCCCTCTCCCTCTCGCTCTCTCTCTCCCCTTCGTCTTCTTCCCGCTATCTGTCGGCTGTTGCTCGGGAAAGTCTAGCTGGAAGGCGCTAAGCCGGCGGCTGGGTATGAACAGCGACTTCCGTCGGAAGATCCGGACAAGCGGGAGCGCCGCTTGAAAAATGAGTTTTAGCTGACGGAATTGTGCGGGAGTTCCGAAGCGGGATTATCTCGCGTCTCGTTCCGCCGCCGCCGCCGAATCCGCCGCGCCGGCCGGTCGCGGCGCGAAACCGAAATAAACGATCGAACGGCGCGTACGTGCGCCACGGAGGACTCGACGCTGATCGGAATCCGTCGGATCGCCGTTACGTGCCGCTCGTACCGCCCCGATGACGGCATGAATTTTTATGCGCGCCCGGAAAAATCATTTTCCGAGTGTTCCTGCAATCGGAATATCGATTTCGGCAGTCAGGCAGGTTTTCCCCAAACGCTCGCGTGTCGGCAAGTGCATTTTCATGACGCTCTCCCAGACCAGAAAATCTCGAAATCTGACTGTTCCGTTTCCCTCTTCGTGTGAATCGCGTGTACGAAGTGTCTGAATTCGCGATTGGACTTTTTATCAATGTCTCTTAGAGTGGGGAGTCGTGTGACAAGATTTGTGACACTCCATTGGAACTTCAGCTCCATGGAACTTATTGATTGCAATGGACCGTTCGCGTTTGTTCTTCCGTTAATACTGGATTCTTTGCACGGGGAAACGAGATCAGAATCTTGTACGCTCGCAGAAATAATTGCGATAATCGCGGAACGTGCCGCGCAACCGGTAACTTCTAACGATTCACGTATTTACCCTCCCTCGCCCGTTAGGGGTGACTAGGGGTTGGCCCGGTCGGTCGCAACGGGACGGGTCAACACTTTTACACCCGGCTAAGCCCGCCGCCATCAGATAATGCTTCACGAGCAACGACGCGGCCGCGGCAGTCGCTTTCAGCCGGCGCCGAAGCGACCCGTACGCCATCGCGCCTCAACAGTTAAAGTCTTGTCCAAACTCGACGAAGCTCGTTTGCTCCGCGGCTGCCGTTATCTCATAGCTGCGATCTCCTCTCAATCTCCACAAGACCGCCTCCGACCCGCCGCCGCGACTGCTTTCTCCCCTTTTCGGCTCGCTATCTCTCCCGGGGAAAGGTAAGAGAAACGGCCTCGCGGTCTTTCTAGATTATTTTGATAACGACAGAGTCGCGGGGATTTGAAGATGCCGTGGATTCTTCTCGCCTTCTTGGACAAGCAAGAGATGCGCCGAATGGGCAATTTTAAGATGACCAAGCTAGCAATGAACGATTATGAACGAACATATAGGATAAACTTGAATGAATGTAAAAATGAACTTTTTTGATGTACTGAAAGAGATAGAACGTATTTATCGACAAATATTTGGACTCGCGGTGCCGTCCAAATTTTTATCGAAGCGAATTCACTTATTATTGTGCTTATATATATTATAGTTTATGCAAAATTTATAAAAACTTTTTATATGCATTTTTTATTGGGATGTTTGGTGTCTTATTCTTATCAGAGTACGAATTGTGAGAAACGCTAATCGTTTAGGGGAAATGTGGAAGTATTAATAAAAAATTAATAAGAAATATTTTATAGGTTGAGTAAATTAAATAAATAATAATAAAAATAGAATAATATTTACAGAAGAAAAATTATTTCCAAGTAAAGATGCATATTACAATCTCTTACACTGTTTGCCATGAATTCATTTGCCGATTATTATTAATTATTCTGCATTTTATCGTAAAATTATGACGCGAATGATATCTTAGAAAACACATTTCAGGTTCGTCGATGTTTGTGCAATTTTCTTATTTACTTCGTGTACATATCGGAACTTTCAAACCTACATGCTCAGCGAAACTTACAAGCGAGGCAGGGAAAGATCTTAACTGCACAAAAGGATACCTGGGTTGTTAAACTAGAAGTGACAACGATTTTTCTCGGATATGTCTTGTATAAAGCGGGACGTGACCCCTTTTAGTTGGCGCGCGAGTCGGGCTATTAAGGGAGGATGATCGATGATTTACGCCATCCATTATATCCGGTGACCGGGAATGTAACCCAGAGGCGTTATTTGCACGAGTAACGCTTTTGCTTTTTTTTTTACGACGTATCACGAACGAGAGAGAGTTTCAAAAGTAGACGTTTTGTGAGAGTCGCTTAATTTTCGACAGAATTTGAGATCTTAAATTTTAGCATTTTGTTTTTCTACTCGGACTTCGCGTGTGCAATTGCGTATAATGCCGATTATGATAATCCGGTATTAACCCTTAACTGGCACACGTCCGCGATCGAACGTTATCTGCACACGGGGGGTGTTGTATACCCCACACGACTTTGGTTACGGCGAAATGGAGGCTCCAATAGGCTTGAAAAAAATCAAGTACATACATTAAACACTGGAAAATGATACCCATTAGCCTAAACTATTAAATTTTTTGTTTTGAGGCTTCAAAAAAATTCTTGTATGAAAAATGGCTTGTTTTGCTAAAAAATCATATCTCAGTCAAAAATAAATATTTTTTGATAAAAATTTAACACGATCTTCTTGAGATAGAGTACTTTACGAAAAAAATTATGATTGTAGTGGGTATAAAAAAGGTATTTATTTTCATGATCGCCTGTGCCCCTTTTTTCTGAATTGAAATCTTGATTTTTATAAGAAAACTTATTTTTATTTTATGTTTAAGTCAGGAATGTGTCATTGGTGACTCGAACTAACGACAAGATGGCACTGCGATGCGAAATTCATAGATTAACCGACCGAAAAAGACGCCTAAACTTCGTTTTGGGGTGTTTGACACCCCGCGTTCCTGTTAAGGGTTAATTTTTGCTTAGCCCTTCGATAACGGAAAAAGTGGTAAAAACATATGGCAAACGCGTATTACCGTTATAAACAATATTCTTCAAATATATACATGATTATTATTGCATTCAGTTGTTAAACAGCAATAATCGATGAATTCATTGCAGTCGCATATTTCCCTTGAGATTACTATGCATCAAATTCACACTCGATACATAAAGTACATTTAGACACTGTATCGAAAACCTATCTTGCAACTTTTGTATCAGTATGATACAAAATTATCTTTTATATTCAAGCTGTTTTTGCCACTGAATCGGGAGTAACTTGAAAAAGATGACAGATATAAGATTCTACTAGTGAAAAAATATAAACAATTTTATTTAAAAAAATTTAATCTAGCTATCATCCATTACGGCCCAATTAGAACGATACAAAACTACCCACGAGGTGTCCCCGTAAAGGGTTAATAGCCCGTTACAAACGATATTAACGTGCTTTTCGAAAAACGTCCGAGCGAAATGAGCGTAACCGCTGGTAGACTCCGCCGGGAATGCTTTTGCTGTAACAGCAGTTCTAGAATCCGTGGAACGTTGTTTATCCCTCGTAACATAACATACCTCGACTTCTAATAACACGAAGTTAATTCCAACAAGACGATGCCTATCGATTGGGGCTGTTATTACAGGATAATGATGGACATTATGCTGGTGATGTTCGCAGGGTATCCTCATACTGGTCTCATGAGCGAGATGGGATAGGGCGCGAAACACACCCTGCGCCGGTCCGAGAGGCAACCGAGGATCAACGAGGAGTAAGAGGCATCCTATTGAAGGTATACGAACCACGTAATCAAACCACGTCACAATGGTATATCGCTTATAATGATATATCGCAGTGCGTACTCTCTATTGGCGCCTCGTGTCGTTGAATGGCAGGTGCCAACGCGTCGTGCGCCAGATATGGGATACTTGTACAAGGAACCGCGGTTGATTATTGCAAAGAGCAACCGACTTCGTCGTTGCCTGTGACAAATCCACTTCTCACCGATTTTGACGTTATTGCGCACGTTGGAGGATAGATCAATAGCATACGACTATTGTCGTTCTCAAGCGTCGAATTTTCACTTCGATAGAAAGAATACGCTCCACGTTAAATTACATATTAATCTCTTGATAACTAAATTATATCTTAAAATTTGATAAAAGCTAGTTGAACATTCTATTATCCGTCCACCATATTCAGGGCTAGGGGCTTCTTTAATCTTCTACATAAAGCAATGAATTCTTGCGTGAAAATAGACTTGTCGAGAACGGCCCCTATCTTCTTTTAAACACAATTTTGCGGATAAAGAAATCTGTATTCTATAATCTATATTCTAAGATAGTAAAGAGAAGATATACGATAAACTGTACATGTAGAGCAGGATTCGTGGCCGATCACGGCGAAATTCAAGGAGAGACAACTCGCCCCGGCGAAACTAAATTGCGTAAATAGTCTTGAGCGACTCGTCTTACCCTCTCAGGGCGCTTAACTCCTTCCCTCCGACATGTCAGAGAATCAAGGTACGTAGACGGAGGAAAGAAGAGAGGACGAGGGAAAAACGTGATACGAAGAGCACGCGAGAAGAAAGGAAAAGAAGGAGGGACGGAGTGGGAGAGGTCGGCAGAACGGAAAGGACGGAGACGGAAAGTAGGGTCGACTGTAAAAGCAACAGGTGCCGACGTCTAGCTAGCTAGCAAGCAACCAGCTCTTGCAAACCCCATACCACATCCTCGCTCTCGTTTCCATTCTCTCTCTTTCTCTCTCTCTCTCTCTTGCTCTCTCCCTCCCACCTTACTCCTCCTTCCCTCTCGCTCTTCACCGCCGCGACTACCCTCGAGCAGATCCCAGCGAGATAGCAAAAATGTTTAATGGGGTGAACTCGCCGGAAAATACCAGGCGACCCGCGTCTCCTCGTAGCACCACCCTGAAAATGTCGTTTTCCTCGATCAGTTTCGCATTAACGTCCCGAGCCTGCTTATCGAGGGCCTTTTCGTGTTTAGTGAGGATCTTCCTTTAAAAAGGCCGGTGTATCTCCCGAGTGCCGCGCAAATTTCTTTCACGAGATCGGTGCTCGCTGCATCGCGCGTAATTCTCGCACCGCGGTTGCGTCGCAAGCGGGCTACATCGCATCGTGAAAGTGCACGGGTTGACATTTTCCTTCGAAGAGGTAGAAATGCGGAAGAAAGCGTGATATATAAAGCGAATATAAATTCTTCATATCTCTTTTAAAATTATCTTCGTGTTTCTCATATATTTTCCACGCGTAATGGTATTTTACTATATTAGCACTTGATAAGATGTTTTAAAAGAGCGCTTGATAGTTTTATTTTTGATATAATTTACATTGAATTAACGTAGAAAGAGAAAAGTTTTATGGAATTTTTTTTTCAAACTTATGCAATTGTCATGTTAATTCTTGTAGTGTCAGAGATATATCTAGATATCTCTGATAGCTATATAAGCGATAGTTGGAGAACGAAATTTGCGTAGCAACGAGAGACGTCTTCTTTTCCCCGGGAGGATCCCGCAATAAATGCCAGGGGAACAAATGCAGCAATAAATGTTAAAGAGATCTCACTCGTCCCGAGAATGCGGCTTTAAAGCGAAGAAAGCTCCTACGGGCCGTGAAAGAATTCCGAGAGGGATCGAGATTACTTGGGCGAGTACGGAACTTCTCTGATGGGAATAAATGAAACGCATTAATAAGAACCGCGAGTATTTCGCGTGCGGGTCTCCCGCGCATAATAAAATTTATGGGGATGTTTAAAAAATCGTGCGGTACTCCAATCTCTCGCCTCGTGCGGCCCCGCGTATTTGTCTTTTGATTCTTATTAATGTCGAAATTTCATCGCGGATGAAATCTCGACGCGCGAAGAGAAAAAGCCTCTGACGCTCGCTGGCGATAATAATCAGCGACAGGTGTTTCAGCGGGCGCGCTGCATTATAATTGCATATTTTTCTAAACGCTAACGATACGCTATTTTATTATCATCATCTTGATAGAATTTCAATGGGAACCAATTAATTAATGAGAAAATTGATAATCATGGGATCAATTATATCGCGAAATTATTATACGCAACCGAGTATATAGAATGTACTAAGCTTAATGAAATGACGTAAATCCGTCGTTAAATTAATTTACCACCAATCATACAATTTTGAATTTATATCCAGATTCCATCCAGCGTGCGCGCGCGGTGGCGCTCGAAAATGCAATGATTTATTGGAGATTTACTTTCGGTCGATTCGTGAACGGTTGGCCGTACTTTACCAATGCAATTTGTTGAAGGTATAGTTTATAGCCGAACACTCTCAAATCACCCCCCCCCCCCCCGAACGCTTTTGTGTTATGTTATATAAAATATATTATAATAAGCATTTACGTAATCCCGTCGCCGATTCGCTTTATCGCGACATAGATTCACATATTTGTTCGCACGTTGGTTGTTAACCACGAGCAGGCGTCGTGCGAATTGTGCCTCGGTGCGCGATTTTTATGCGCAGTTCAGGTATTTTTCGTCTGGCGTTCGTGCCGAGCGCGCCAGGGAGCACGTTTCCTCGCGTGTGTACGTCGTGTACATCAGAACGGCGCCCAGAGTAGCGGTAGATGGAAGGTTCAACCACGCGCGAGCCTTCGCAAGCGCGGAAGGTGGTGGCCGGTGATTCGAATTTGGAGCAGCGGACTTTATTGTTGCCCCGCAACCGCACGAAACCGCTGTCTGGCCCGCCGTCGCGTATTAAACATTACCGAGGGGTCGGTTTTACGATCCCTTGAACATATCGTATTAATGTCGCTCTCGGTGCGATCGCGCGCGCTACGGCTTTACGTTGCCCGCTTCCAATTTAATGCGTCTCCCCGCCGCGAGATCTTGTGCCATTGTGCTGCATACGGAGCGGCACATTTGGCCGGCGCGTCCAATGAATACGATTACAAATGCATGCGACAACGATCTTAATGACGAACGTCTACCCGAATCGAGTAACCTCGTTCTCTTTCATACCTCCCATTACTCGCGGTGAGATAAAACATGGATCTTTGCAGTTACTCCTTCAAAATTTTATGTGACTATTAATGATAGAATTACTGCTCCTATTTGAATTATGAGAAATTCATCTTAAATTACCGATAAGCGCATATAAGTTTAAAATTATGTAATTTAGGTCTCTCTCTCTCTCTCTTTCTCTTTCTCTCTCAATCGACTGATCGGAGAATATCTTTCCTTAGATTCTTTATTTATCTTATCACGGAATTTTCTCAAAGTGTAGGTAATTACACGATAAATTTTTCGTTGCTGCTTTTCCGCTAAACACGATCGTTACAGAAAAACAGCCGCTATTACTTTTTCTTGTAGTCTATACCGCACTGCGGGAACGAACATAGAGGCGTCGTCGTAAAGAAACGCCGATGAAGGGGAACTCTCACTTCCTATGCTAATGCCGAGGGCGAGGTCTTCGCTGTGTTCATAAAGACGGTGCGGTGGTGCGCTCCTCCCGCGCGCGAAATAAGACCATTGCGGCTGCAACGCGGTGAAAGAGCGGTGGGGGAGACGCGAGGGGTTGTTATGCCCGCGGCATCTGCCACCGCTGCATCCGATATGCGATATTTTCTTCGCCGAAAGTATGCGCTGTCCGCACAATCGACGCGACATGAAAAAGCCGAATTTTCGCTTTGAGTTACTTTTTTATAGGTTGGTGAGTTAGTAATTTTCCGCTGCTGTCAAAATTAAAAGTTGTAAGGTAAATGTACCAATGCCTGGAGACGTACCTATATGTCTACATTTTTATCATTTTAATCCTTAAATAAGTTATAACGCGAATTAATATCAAAGAATTAAAGATAAAAATATTTTTCTTGTATTATATGTTTATCTTTGATTTTAATTTGCTTTATATACTTATTTAAAAACTAAAATGATAAAGGTGTCCATCAGACATAGGTCTTAAGTGTCCCAGCATTGGTACATTTACCTTAAATACAATAATAGTTTATCTACAATTAATTAATTACATAAAATGTGTGAAAGCTCATATTTCCGTCTATTGACGTTGTGCCTTACAAATAATATCAAAGCTCCTCGTGTAAATTGATTAGTTAGAAATTTTTCGAGTGGGAAATGTTCCTCAGTGAAACGTTATCCTAAACATCACTAAATTTCGCTTACGTTTCATAGAAGGAAATATTAGGCAGTGTTACATCTCATTATAGTATTAATAGCTTAAGGCAACTCCAAATGCTTCTGCTCGACGAATATCCAAACCGGTGCGCGCTATTACGCCATACAAATGAGATAATGTATGTCGACGTGACGATGCGATAATTGTACATGACAATGCAGTAAAATTTAGTTCGCATAAACGCCCGGCATTTGGATTTATCGAACGCATGACAAATGAACGCATTGTCTGTAGTCAACATCATCTACGATAATGCGCTTTAGTTGGTGACGTCACGCGTGATACGCTCAACTAATTGCAGGGTTTATTTTCGATATGCCGATACGGGATAGTAAGTAGATGGAACGTTCGCAATATTGAAAACGATCGCAAGCGAAATTTGGCTGCACGACGCTCGAGCGCACGTAGAGACAGCAAACGTTCGCGTTATGTCGTTCCGCGTTTCTGCAGCGGATCGGCTTGATTCCGTCCCGATCGAGCGAATTCAAGCGAAAGGCGAACGTCGTATCGAATCCCATGGCGATGTTACGTGTCTGATTTAATGTTTGGGGACTCGATGTCGCGGGCTGCCTGGTGTTTCGGTAAACGTTTTATCCACCGGCGGTCTGACGC